TTAGATTTTTCCAAAAATAGTCAGACTTTTCCAAAAGTGTTTCGAAGGCAATGGGGTTTTGAACGGCAGTTGATTTGTTAGATATATTGTCGTTAACCCTAACGCTTAGCAATAAATTATTATTTTGTGTTTAAATTCCGGGAAAATGTTATTTAACTTTAAGAGCATTTACTGTAATATTTAATAATTAAGATTAAGTAACGATAACAACCTATAAAAATATATTTCTAAATCTAATCAAAAACTTTATATTAGGTTGGATAATAAGCTTATAATGCATTAAATAGGAAATTATATATTTTATGCAATTTTTCATTATATAAGATAAATAAACACTAAACTTAATGTTTGATAATTTATTTTGCCGTTAATTAACGTAAAAATGTTTATTGAAAAAAGTTACAATAATAATGAAGTAAATCATTGACTGACAAAACTTTGCTCCGAAGTCGACTGAACTCCGCTATCTCTGTATGAATGAAAAGTCATATAATATTTACATAAACACAACAATCAGATGACTGTAGTATACATAAAGTCTAATGTATGATAAACTATAAAAACAATTTTTCTTTAAAAAGCCTTGACTTTCCTTATAGTTTAAGTAACTTTTTAACACAATTAATGCATACAAGCGTTGATAAGTTGTATAGTTATCTGATCGACAAATGAAACGTTTGCTAAGCAATACATTACAAACATATTCACTGATCACACGATTGTTTCCATTTTCACAGATTGTATGAAAACTTTCTAACATTTTGTTTTTCATGTTATCGATTTTCTTATCAATTTATTTATATATCAATAATTAAAAAGCAAACTTAAAAGTAGCGCTCAAAACGTTTGCGTTATTTTCATTTGACTTGACGTTAATTATTGAGCTTTTGTGTGAAATTTTTATCACAAAATACATAACTATTGAAACATACTTTTTAGACCCTATTCTATGGACACAAATGTGTGTCAAATATACAAAACCTGTATTTCATGTCTTCAATGCCAATACCCTTGCGTTCAATTGAGTCATACTTTATGTTCACATTATTTTTTCTCACTCGACAGCTGTCATGCAAATGATAGCTAAAGATTGAGAGCGACTCCGGATAACAAATACGCCCGACGTATACAACGTCCGCAATATATCATATTAAAAGTTTAATGTGGTTATATTTGAGTTTACTAACACGACTGACTATTAAAAATGAGAATCATTAACAAGTAAAAATTCACATGCAAGTTCAATAATTTTTACTAAATATTTTTAGGAAATTATCAGTCAATTTTAAAATTAATAACAATTAATAGTACTGTAATGCAAATTAATATTAATCATAAAAATATACTTGGCAAATAATTGATCCTGGTAATAGATGGTAGTGGAATAATGTTAGCAGATATACACAAATTCTTGTTGTAATATATTTTTAATTGTAAACAATTTGCATGATTTATAAAAGTNGCAAATTAATATTAATCATAAAAATATACTTGGCAAATAATTGATCCTGGTAATAGATGGTAGTGGAATAATGTTAGCAGATATACACAAATTCTTGTTGTAATATATTTTTAATTGTAAACAATTTGCATGATTTATAAAAGTTTATTCATTGACGCAATGAATGGGACGCCGTTTGGCGTACGTGTGGTGCGCGGCTGTCGTGAGTATGTGAGCGCATGATTGGTGTAAAGTTGTGGCATATTTTGTATTTATAAATATTCGTATATACAGTACATGTATAGCGTATATATAGCACTCATATATATGTATATCTATGTATACATACATTACTATAGATTTGATATTATTTGTTCAAAAGAATTGAATGAAAAGTGATTTGCATTTCAATACAAACACAACGAAACGGACATTGAGTTCACGTCTTAGTGACCATTCATTACCAGACAATCAGTGACCACTTAAACGTGCCATCAGTTGATCCCCGCAGTCATCGTACGGACCATTGGTTGTGTGCAATGTCTTCGTCTCAGAGCCTCATTGAGTGCATGTCTTCGTCGTCGTCGTCGTCATCGTCGCCATCGATGGGTTTGGGATCCAATGGATCCTACGATCAGATGTCGACGAACGAGGAGTTTGTGTCCCAATGTGGTGACGATGTCTTCGCGCGCATCACTCTCCTGTCAAATACGATTCAATCGAAACTCTATTTATTGCAAACAAATGACAACAATATCTATAATCAGCTCAAGAGCCGCACGAGTGATGATAATAAGGACATAAGCGCTCACGAGTTGTCCACTCTGTACGCCATCCGCAGTGAATGCTATTTGAAGTTAGGTTTACATCAATTGGCTTTCGATGACTGTGTCAGTGGTTCCCAATTGGATCCCAAGAACGCCAACTGCTATCGTCTCAAAGGTTTGTTGTATTTGTATTCAAATGAATGCTTTGATTGAAACATATATTCATTTATTATATATATATCTCTCACTTATCGTCACAAGTGTTGATAAAATAGATAACAATTTATATTTCAATTAAAACTCATTTGTTTGCTGAAAATACAGTCAATATGTGTATTGAATGCGATTTCGTTCACTATATGCTCACTGACTATAACTATATCCCATTGTGTCTGTCATTTGAGTTGATTGTGAATTGAGTTTTGTTTCATTTATTTATTTCATATTAAGTTTGTTATAAATTAATGCATTTTCTATTCAATTGAGAGCTGTTTTAGTGACAAATGCAAACATTATATTATTGGATATTTTTGTTTATTTATTTAACATTTTGTTTATAACGAGAGTTTTGCGCCCATTATTAACATATTTATTGACTTTTAAGTCAAATGAGACATACATTAGAGCGTGTCTTAAGACTTAACACAAATTGCAGTCATTATTGCATTGATTGCACAGAAATCGCGTTATATTTCTGCCAAAAATACCAAATTATTGTTTCATTTCAACAATTTGGGTATTATTTCACTTTGAATTTCTATCAATACATCTCACATACGATTGTATGTTAATAGCGATAGTATAGTGTATTATAGTTACACAACACTTCATATAATCAATATCTCGTGTATTGTCACTAACAGTGTATGTCTTGTCTAACTGTCCAACAGGTCGTGCATTACTGGCACTGAATCGCAAGGAGAGCGCTGAGCACTCGTTTAAGATGTCACTGGAATTGAGCAAAAAATATGGCGAACCCTCGCAGGAGTCGGTCCGCAATCAATATAAGGCCCTAAAGGAGGCCGGCTTTGACGAGCACACGGCTAACATGTTTGCCCCCAAAAGTCGCTCAGTGAACGATGCGATCGACAATATTCTCAACACTAGCCTTACGTCCGGACAGTTGTCTTCTCTAAGAGATTCTTACACGAGAAGTCTAAACACCACTGAAATGAATCCGTTTCCCTCGCAAACGATTGATTCGCAATACTCGCAAATGTCTGGCATTTTTGGAAATAGAAATCAAACGCATAGTGGAAAGGGAGCTAACAGTGCCTCACAACAAGCATTAGGCCTTAAACTCATCAGTGATATCGACAACTGTTTGGGAAGTATTCTCGATAGCGATGAAGAAAAGCCCAAAATTTTTGACGAAAAAAACGATAACAATATGATTAGTGCCACGAATTCTAGCGATTTTTCACATATTAGTAATAATAACAATAATATTATTAACAAAAGTAATAACAATTTCTGTGATAATATCGGAGATAATGGCGTACTTTTGTCCAGAAGTGTTTCGCCGCATATAAAGCAAAAGCAAAACCCGTTTGGGATCTCAACGGATCTCCAACTCAAACAAAATGCAAATAATTTTTCTCTTGATCTCAACAAAGACTCGTTGGGCTCACAGATTGTGCCGAAGTTTTTAAATAATAGCAGCGCTCGGAGTGCGGAGTCGACACGAAAAGCAAAAACGTTTGCAGACATAGCGTCGGCCAACACTAAAAAACCCGTTCAGACGTTCAAAATGGCCGCAAAAGTGAAGACGAATAACACGAATATAGATTCTAAAGAGGTGTCGACCCCTCGCTCCCAAACCCCTTTAGATTATGGAAATAAAGTGTCGGCGCTCGAGTCGTTCGGTGCGCCAAATACTGCCGAAGGTGTGGATAAAATCGAAAAAATCGGTCAAATAGTAGTGTCGGAACCGATCCGACCCACGAATTTGATGGCATATAAAGGCCTTTGGGTTTGCAATATATCGCCCGACGCCTCGTATATAACATTAAAAAAAGTGTTTCGAAAGTATGGAAACTTCACTGGAATTCAGACTTTCGAGAGAAAAGCGACGAACGGCTCGAATATAGTTTTTGTTCACTACGACAACAGTCAGTCGCCTACCGATGCCATCGCAGAACTGTTTGGCGTCTATCGCAAAGACATCTGTTTCGATGAAAACACACTTTTAAAGCTTCGGTTCACGCCATCCATGGAACAGACGAAGAACGGAGACTTGCCTTCAATGGAAAAAGCGAAGAGAGTGGTCGAGAAGAGTGGCGAGTGTTTCAATTGGCGTCTGTCCACCGGGTGTCACAAAGGCGACCGGTGCTCATCCAAACATATCCCTATCAATAAGGCGGTCGACTCGCAGCCATGGGTTGGTTCACATTTTCTTGAGATTGTCTTATTGTTATCATAACTCATGGTTTACTTTGACTTTTTAGGTAAAAGCATTGAAAAAGAAAGCAAACGAGGCTTAGGATGACTATCACTGACTCTTATGATAATAATAATAATAATAATAATAATAAACACAATTATATTATAATTAATCCGAAATACTTTTGGCAATTGACTTGAATTCTTTGAAATAAAAAACTTTCTGTTCTATTGGCTCTAAATTATAGTTTCTTTAATTTTAGTGTAGTATTAATTAAACAATTTATTTATTATAAAATGTTTTGCTTAATTTTCGTTAACACTTTTTCGATTATAATTACCGTAATATTTAAAGTAATAATATTAAAAAGTTTTATAAAACTCAAAACCAATTTAAATAAAATAATTACACTATACTTAAAGCATTCAATTATTTAAATTAAAATTTGTTATAACTTTTTTGTTATTTTCAAATTCATTGAAATGTGAAGTAATTTGTTATAAATTGAATAATAATTGAACTTTTAAAATATTTTTATATTTTACGGTTTATAGTGTGTATAAGTAATAATGTATTGCAATAATTGTTATTCACTTAACACCTCTGTCTCTCAAATTAGTTAACATTCTGCCATTAATTCTGTTAAAGTCTCTGACACTCACTCCTAAAACACATATTTGTGTGAAAAAAGAAATAAGTTTTTATTTTTACTTAAAAATCATTTTCTTGTTTGTATTTAGTTTTTGTGGCGAACATTACAAATGCTGTTAATTTGCATTATTATTCACGTCTCGTATTCTCAAAACTTGACTAATATTCAAGACTATTATTAAGTTTTTTCTAATATAATACTGAATACACTAATGAAATATAACTAATACCGTATAGCACTGGTATTTAAGGTGTTCCATACGATGGCATTGCGTTTATAATTATAGGTATAATGGCTTTTGTCTCATTTTGAATTAATAACGAATCATACATTAAAGTAATACCAAAATAGCAAATGAAATAATTTGTGTTTAAACAAAGTTTGTGATGAGATATAATATGAGTTTGCAGTTTCACAAATTTCACGCTTTCATCGGTTTTGGAGACATTTCTTATAAAATAATATGTAATTAATAACAAACACTCTGTTTGGTTAGGCTATGATGCGATCAAATCATGACATTTACTTTTATTGTTTCATTTGCAAAGACACAGAATCGTATAAATCCATACAGTTTTAGGTATATATTCATAAACTTGAACACCAGTAGTACTACGAACAAAAGTTTTATACAATGAAAGCATTGATTTCTATATCTATTGTGGCCTAAGATAATTGAGACAAATATGAAAGAAATAATATTCTTGAAGAATATATCTCTTTTATAACTGATACCAATGTCAGGTGTTATTCAATGTTTGCATATATTGTTCTGTTTATTAATATTAATCTAAAAATATACTAAAGTTTGTCAGTATATTCCACACTATAATTAAAAGTGAAAATTTTGTTTATTCAAAGTCTGAAAGGAGTTATTACTCTTTGAGTTATTTGTGAATTTGTGAAGACAAGCAAATTCAGTGGAAATGCCGACGACTTTCATGTGGAGCGTAAGTCATATGTCATTAAAGATTCAATGTTTTGCTACAAATCTTCACTTTCATAACATTTATGAAGCAAATTATTAATTAGTAACCAATTTCAAATCATGCACTAATTATTACCGATAATTAAGAGTGTAGAATTAACAATGATACACACAATTTATTAAATTAAATTTGTTTTCTAATTTAGTTTATTGATGCACTGATTTATTTGATGTCAATTTTGAACAGGTCCAAATAAAGGATTGTCGGAAAATATTTCTACTTTTATTGACATATATTCTGTACCTAATATTCGGAGCGTTTGTCTTCCAGTACTTTGAGGCGCCCTTAGAGGAGAAGTTGAGATCACAGATTGAAGGGATTATTAAATCATTTGAAGGTATGTCTTATGAAGATATCTGTATATAAATTGTATATGTATTTTGTACAGAATCTATATATTTAGTCAATACTTACGAGTTATCAACACATAATATAGTGGTATTAGATATAAATCAAATGAATTGAGAAATAGTGAAGATTAACATAAAATAAATATAATTTGCTATTTCTAGTAAGTTTTTCTAGTAAGTTATAACAAGTACTCATGAATATTAATTTTCAATATTAGATTTGAAGGCCTTATAAGTTTACCAGTATATTTAACAAATTTGTATCATTTGTATCATTTTGACGTTATATTAAAATAATTGAAAATTATATTTCATTGAAAACCGTAAATATTTGACTCATTGGTAATGATTTGACATTTTCGTGATTCAAAGAAATCACCGATAAATTTGATAAATGTATTTACTCATTTCCTGCTGTGAATTATAACTTTATGCTAATCCCCGTCCATATGTCGGCTATTAATGACTTAAAAAATTCACTAATTTCCATATAATAACTGTAAATATCTTAATATTCAACTAAATATTGATAACACAAAATATCATAATACTAGAACAACAACTTAATATAATATAGATGCAAGATTATTTTAAAATAGTCATTTATTTTTGATTACTTGACAGACAAACACTCTAAAATTAATATATTAGTTAATATTTTAAAAATATTTGTAATACTGTACCTGTACTATATTGGTAAAAGTATTTAGATATTGTTTTGTATATTTATATGTCTTTATCACCATGATAAATTTGAAATATTGGGATAAATATTTGTGTGTAGAAATGTCTGATTTATTTTTAATAAGAAATGATAATTTATAAAGTATGAATATTCTAAATTTATCATTATTTTATACAATATAAATTTGGCAAATAGTTTATAAATAATAATTTGTATGAGCCTATGTTTAGATTGAAATCCAGTATATTCTGAAAATATTGATCAATACGAAATAAATAATTAGCAAATTATTCAGCAATTATTAAAATATAATTTTTTCTCAAACGTTTACAGTACATGACATTTAAATTAATATAAAATTATCTATAAATACGTATTTTATATTTATTTTTAATTTACCTCATAATGTACTCATATTATAGCAGAATATTTTGTTTATACTTAATCAGATATTACATACCATATACTTATAATTCTTTTTAATTACAAATAAATTAAATAATTACAATAATATTTAATAATAATAAATGTTTGGAAATTTTTATAAATTTACATTCTCAATTTACAGGGATAATGAAAGCAAAATTAATATAAGACCATTTGAATGGATAGTTTAATGTGAGAATCTGTCATAAAAGTAGCGAAATTGTTGCCAAAACTGAAATCCAGACAAAGATGTGCCAATGACTAAACCAAACGATTATTTAATTATTATTTATTTGCATTTTAGATAAGCTTTCCGATACTAACATAAACACAACGGTAAAGGAGTTTAAGGAGATTGTGCACAAGTATATGATGGCCCGGGATATGAATCTAGTGGACCAGTTCGGACACCTGACGAACCAGAACTGGAATTTTCATAACTCTTTCTTCTTCTCGACGACAGTCATCACAACCATAGGTTACGGCCATTTCCTGCCGTCGACCACTTCCGGCAAAATATTTACACTTTTCTACGCCCTCTTCGGTATACCGATGACGGGTATACTGTTGGGAGCGATCGGCAGTCTCTTCAGCCGATGCTTTAGGATCCGTATAAAACAAATCAAAAAGAAATACAAAAACGATTTGAAAGCTACGATCGCCTATCGATATATGGAGACTGCGGTCCTGTTCTTCATTCCCTGGTTTATAGTATTTCTGATCATTCCTTCGGTTATATTCGTATTCATAGAGCGCTGGTCTTTCTTAGAGAGTTTCTACTATTCATTCATCACTCTGACAACCATTGGTTTCGGTGATTATGTGGCCGGTTAGCTGTTTTCCATCAACTTTAATCAAATACTTTTTTCGCATATTAAACCCATGTATTGATTGATGTATTGTTTAGGCAATTATGACGGCCAGACATGGATTGTCATCTACAAATTGATGGTTGTTTTGTGGATCATATTTGGTTTGTCGTACTTATCGATGATATTAAACTTTATCGGAAGGGGTTATAAGAAAGTGGAGCACTCGGAGGTCATGCATTCAATGCACTCATCGATCGCTCACATATCCGAGCCTTTCCTCCACCGCACGAAACCAAAAATTAGTGTCGAGTTTATTGAGGAGACAGAGACCCAGCAAACTCCCGGTGCCCTCCACTCTCACAAGTCGCACGACTATACCGACTCCGATTCCACCAATAGTTCAAACAGTTCCAGCAGTTCCAGCAGTTCCAACAGTTCCAGCAGTTCAGACAGTTCTGAACAGGGGGTACACCACAGTCACCACAATCATCATCATAATCATCATCACAATCACCACAATAATGGCGAAAATACAAGTGTTTTGCCGTATATTGTATAGCACTTAATGACATAATTTAGACAATAATCATAAATACGGCTTAACTTTATTATCAATATAATGACGGAAACAAAACCATTAATTGAGTCCAAAATTATGTTATTATTCTGTAAGTTAGTCCTTATTTATAGACATCCAAAGGGAGTGATTAACGCCTATTACCCCCTGAATAGAGTGAACGCCAGTCTAATAGTTGTAAATATAGTTTAATAGACGACTTATTATTTCATTAACTTTTATATCAGTTAATATTTTCTCAATACACTGCTGTATTTGATTCATTCATGACAATTAACAACTGTTATAATGATAATTGAAGTTATTTCAATTAATTAAATTATTATATCCATTGAAATTAAACAATAATTGTGTGATATTTGAACTTAATTAGACATTTATGTCTACTTTTTGATAATTTTTGTTTAGTGTTAAAACTTGTGTTAAAACCAAATGTTAAAACTTAAAATAAATTATTATTTGCATTTTAAATTTATTTACTATTTAAGTGTAATTATTATTAAAGTTAAAATATTCAAAACTACAAATAGCATCAACTTCATAAAAGTAATAGGAATTAAAAATTGTAAAAATTTAATCAAGAAACTAGATAGTGCCATATAATAATTGACGTAAATACAGTACAATAAAGTGAGTACAAATACAAATCTTATAAACTAAATAGACATCAAATATCATCACTCAGGAGATAATCAGCTATTTTTATGAATCACACAATTATTTTCAGACATTATTACAATAACTTACTTCTGTTTTTTGAAATGCAAGTTATGTTATATCATATAACTTATATGTAAATACAAATATTTAATTAGCTTTGAGTCTACTTTTATCATTTTGGATGCCATTGAGAATTTTGACAATAATTAAAAATAAAATGAATATATTATTTATCTTGGTGATTTCATATAAAATGATGTCCATAATTGGGTTTGAAATGAGTTCAACTGACATTATAACCATCACATCCGAAGTAACAGAAGTGTATAACAATCAAAGTTTGGGTGATATTTGTGGGCAACAAAATCAATGCAATACGAGTGCAAACTTGATCTGTAAAAATGGTTTGTGTGAATGCCAACACAATTATACCGATATTCAGATCAATAGTACATTGGATCGAAATTGCTATCCAAAGGGTAATCTAATATCTCATATATTCATTAAATGGTTTAATCAGATTGTATTTTATCCAATAGTTGCATATAATGAGAGCTGCTTTGATGACCGACAGTGTCTGGCATTGGATCCCAACTCTCATTGCGGTCTCACGGATGAGATGAGCGGAAGGTGTCTTTGCTCTCATTATTATGCCTTCGATGGCTCCCAATGTGTGCAGAGTTGGTGTGATTGGGTTGACTATCACTGGACTTTCCATCGCATAATTGTTATACTTATTGTCTTCTGCATTGCCTTCACTCTGGTTTTCATTGTTATTTCAATTTCACTTCATTTGAGGTCAAAGTAAGCAAAATACATACACTTTTGTTTGTCTCCCTTTGACAATAAAACTCAATTCAATCTCATTTATGTTTATTAAAGAGCTTGGAATAGACGTAACGACTCAAAGGCATTCAAATATCCCAATAGTTTATCGCCGAAAGTAATTGTTTCCAAATATTTCAATAATCCCAATGAGTCCGAGGATGAGATATACCTCAAACCAAAAGTGTATATCAAAAAGTGGTAACTTTTTTTGGAAAGTGACCTTTCTGTATAAATATGTTAAAATTATAATCAAGTTTTTACACAATTCGTGGCTTACATTATACTTTACTTAATGTTATACAATGTATGGATTTTGTTATTTCTAACTCTATGTTTAAATCAATAGTAATAATAATTGTAATACAATTATATACAAAGTTTATAAATAATTGATATCTGGATTTATTATCAATTCATCACTGCCTTCATGCGCTAATCCGGAATAAATAGATGAATGTATCGATTCTGTGGTTTATGTAGTACTCGAAGGCACAGACAGATGGGAGGAATGGCTTCTATTGATTGCATTATTCTTAAGGCGATTCATATAAAGCAAAGAATCACGACTCTGAGACAAATGCCTATTGTATGGACTCTAGTGAGCACTTATTCACTTATACTTATCGTTTAGATTAATGTAGGAATCGTTTAAAATAATGATTTTGTATTCATTTATTATCGGAGACCACAATTCTGGTGATAATAAATGTGTGGATTCGTGCGAACAATAATTAATTGACAAATATTTGAGACCCAAAACTAAAACACAACTCAAACGGCATAACAAACGTATTGGCCGTCAGAACACAATGTTATCGGAGTTGTGACCAAAAACAGGACACAAATACTTCACATGTAATGTTGACAGTGAAGAAAATTGATGCGTTTGGCTAAAAGACCTCCTGTTTTGCCCGATATTACACTTTTACTTCTCTCTCTCTCTCTCCCTCTCTCTCTCCCTCTCTCTCTCCCTCTCTCTCTCTCTCTCATCTATTTATGGATTGATTTGTTCGCCAATTCATTACACTTCACATTCAACTTATATTTTATATTAAACTTTATTATTATGTCAATAATCTGATGGATAAATATTTAATTCGTTTTGATAATAAAGTTTAATCAACTTTTCTAAATGATTTCAATTGGTTTTATTTTTTGATATTTATCTAGAATATTATCTGTTTTATGTAATTTTCACTTATATTTAAAGCTTTGTACTCAATCGATAACCAAATGTGTGTTTATCAAAGAAATTGATTGATTTAACACTCATTTGGTTTTCATACAATATTTTGTGTGGAAATAGGGTTTGATTGAGAGTAACACACATTGAGAGACAAACAGTGAGTGTTTAATACGGAATGAGTTATTGAGTTTCGATACAAATGAGACACACATTCAGTGAAACTTCTTATGAAAAATAGGAGCAAAATATCAGAGGAAAGGATCAGAATTGCAAATGTGATACAATCCCAGCCACTTAATACTCACCGCAGTTCACAAACTAAACCAAATGTCATTAATCACTAAATATCTGAAATTAACTTTACTTTCTTAGACTCCTTATAACAATACAAATATTATGTAAATACATATAAACTCAACAATTCTTTCATAATATTCTCGAGTTATTAACATATTCTAACCTTTTGTATGTTTAATAAATTAATAGTAAATAATAACTAATAATATTTACTTGTTAGAATTGTCAACTTAAAATAATTATAATAATATATTTCTTTCAAAGTATTAATTTATATCTTATATTAAATAATATTTTAGATATTAATGTTAATTTCCGTTTAATGAATAAATTATAAAATTTTATATTAGTACTATATTAAATTTATAAACAAAGTCAAGGATACCATTCGTTAATTATATATAATATTAACTCTAAAGAGAATTGTTTTTATTTTTTTTAATTATAATATGAAGTAATTATGTTTTGAATTTTATTTATAGATCAGATAAAATATATATTATTTATAATTTATATTACTATTATATTTAATAGAATAATATGTTTATTATGAAATAATATTTAATTTAAATATTAATTTTTAATGGTTAATAATTTGCTATAAATCAATTGTAAAAATATTAGACACTATTATAAAATTTATAGATAAAATATTTTACAACACTATTGTGTATACGTTATAATTTATATGGCTATTTGGTATAATTTATAGATGTTAATTAAAAATATTACTGTAAGAATAGTAAATTAAACGCAAATTGTGTATTACAGATTTTAATTAAAACTAACAATAATATTTGTAAAATATTAAATATATTTCAAACATTTAATACAATAATTATATTATGCTATTCTAAATAATTTAAACTGAATAAAAAATATATAAAATTATCCAAATCTATAGAGTTAATAAAATATTTTTATATAAATTTTAATTATTAATGCATTTACTAATGTTAATTTATTTTAAAATTAATACTTACTTCCTAATTTTTATTTTAATTAATATTAGTGTTAAATGTTATATGTATTTATCAAACCTAAAGAATAAAAGTGTGAAAAAATTGATCATTCAATGCACATACGAATGGGTATTATATTACGGCTGAAACAATATCGCCTGTCGTTTAAATAGTGTCCTCTAATAAGATTCAATGTTTTGCTACAAATCTTCACTTTCATAACATTTATGAAGCAAATTATTAATTAGTAACCAATTTCAAATCATGCACTAATTATTACCGATAATTAAGAGTGTAGAATTAACAATGATGCACATAATTTATTAAATTAAATTTGTTTTCTAATTTAGTTTATGATTCACTGATTTATTTGATGTCAATTTTGAACAGGTCCAAATAAAGGATTGTCGAAAAATATTTCTACTTTTATTGACATATATTCTGTACCTAATATTCGGGGCGTTTGTCTTCCAGTACTTTGAGGCGCCCTTAGAGGAGAAGTTGAGATCACAGATTGAAGGGATTATTAAATCATTTGAAGGTATGTCTTATGAAGATATCTGTACAGTATATCAATTGTATATGTATTTTGTACAGAATCTATATATTTAGTCAATACTTACGAGTTATCAACACATAATATAGTGGTATTAGATATAAATCAAATGAATTGAGAAATAGTGAGATTAACATAAAATAAATATAATTTGCTATTTCTAGTAAGTTTTTCTAGTAAGTTATAACAATTACTCATGAATATTAATTTTCAATATTAGATTTGAAGGCCTTATTAGTTTACCAGTATATTTAACAAATTTGTATCATTTGTATCATTTTGACGTTATATTAAAATAATTGAAAATTATATTTCATTGAAAACCGTAAATATTTGACTCATCGGTAATGATTTGACATTTTTTGTGATTCAAAGAAATCACCGATAAATTTGATAAATGTATTTACTCATTTCCTGTTGTGAATTATAACTTTATGCTAATCCCCGTCCATATGTCGGCTATTAATGACTTAAAAAATTCCCAAACTAATTTCCATATAATAACTGTAAATATCTTAATATTTAACTAAATATTGATAACACCAAATATCATAATACTAGAACAACAACTTAATATAATATAGATGCAAGATTATTTTTAAATAGTCATTTATTTTTGATTACTTGACAAACAAACATTCTAAAATTAATATATTAGTTTATATTTTAAAAATATTTGTAATACTGTACCTGTACTATATTGGTAAAAGTATTTAGATATTGTTTTGTATATTTATATGTCTTTATCACCATGATAAATTTGAAATGTTGGGATAAATATCTGTGTGTAGAAATGTCTGATTTATTTTTAATAAGAAATGATAATTTATAAAGTATGAATATTCTAAATTTATCATTATTTTATACAATATAAATTTGGCAAATAGTTTATAAATAATAATTTGTATGAGCCTATGTCTAGATTGAAATCCAGTATATTCTGAAAATATTGATCAATACGAAATAAATAATTAGTAAATTATTCAGCAATTATTTAAATATAATTTTTCTCAAACGTTTACAGTACATGACATTTAAATTAATATAAAATTATCTATAAATACGTATTTTATATTTATTTTTAATTTACCTCATAATGTACTCATATTATAGCATAATTTTTTGTTTATAGTTAATCAGATATTACATGCCATATACTTATAATTCTTTTTAATTACAAATAAATTAAATAATTACAATAATATTTAATAATAATAAATGTTGGAAATTTTTATAAATTTACATTCTGAATTTACAGGGATAATGAAAGCAAAATTAATATAAGACCATTTGAATCGATAGTTTAATGTGAGAATCTGTCATAAAAGTAGCGAAATTGTTGCCAAAACTGAAATACAGACAAAGATGTGTCAATGACTAAACCAAACGATTATTTAATTATTATTTATTTGCATTTTAGATAAGCTTTCCGATACTAACATAAACACAACGGTAAAGGAGTTTAAGGAGATTGTGCACAAGTATATGATGGCCCGGG